TAGGCCGTCTTTTCTGAGTATATACATTGCGACCACCATGGTACCTGCATCCGTTTCCCAAACAACTTTCCCGTCATCCTTATTCACTGTTACAACACGACCAGCCATGGTACTTGCAAAATGCTGATACCGGTATGACGAATCGGCTAAAAAAGAAACAGCCAATTTTATGGAATTTCTAATTTTTCAGCGGAATTTCTTGAAAGTTGTTTAATTTTTTCGGCATCCACGAGGAAATAAACGATCCCTCCCTCTTTTTTGATGCTGGAAAGTGGTGACGCATATAAATCGAATAGTCACCAAGTACCACAGAAGGTATGTAACCGAGGATCGGAAGGCTTGGCAGAGCTATACCTGATGTGTAAGAGTACCGCACTTTATATATTACCATTTAAATCCTCCAGACCAACGTGGCTCACCAGCCGATTGCCCCAGCGGTCGTGGTACGCAGCCTTGGTATTTATTTTACTTCTAGCAACTGGCAATCGTTAATCGCGGAATACTTTCGAATACCTTGGGCTCTAATAAAGAATAAATCCGGAGGGGATTTTGTTTCGATTTTTTGGCTTATCAGCAAAAATTGACCCAGCACTGCCGGAAGTTTTAACACTTAGCCAGCAGTTCTCAATGCATTTATTTTTGAAGTGTATTTCCATGTTCAGTAAAAAGATAAATAGCAACGCGCACCAGACTAGCCACTGCCATCATGCGTTTTGTTCAATTCAGCCCATCGAATGATTACCTATTAATGATTTTCACTGCTTTGTACTTTTGTCAATGCAAAAATAGTTCAAACACTGGAAAATAGTTAAAAATTTAACGCACCAGCGCATGAAAGCTGAATTCGAAACCTTGAAGGGTGAATATCTTTCCGTGATTCCCGAGCTAATAGTTTAACCACCAAAATCCCCGCAAGACCGTAGGTGATACTCAACAGCAAGGGAACGCTGAATTTGAATTGGCAAGGTTGAGCGTGGGCAGAGGGTCATTACACTAAAATTTCAGCCTCCTAGACCCCGTGGTTCCTGAGATATTAATTTACCCGTAAAAAACTTTCAC